GTGAAGAAAGCAGTTAAAACTTCCTACCCTCATGAAGTTTACATTCTGTAGAGTTAGACAAATCCCAGATTAGAGAGTGTAGTTATGGAACACAGCTTTTCAGACTGGAAAGGTAACCTAGTTTCTACCCTTAACTTAGGTCAAGTTCCATAAACTGCCATCTTAGTACTTGCTGTAATTAATTCCTGAATTCACCTCGTTTTTTATCTTTTTCACTTTTCCAGGTAAATATTTTTCACATATTCTTTTCGTCATTACAGTTTTCGTTTCTGGAGCCATAGTGGTTTTAAGTTCTCACCCATGCATTCTTTGTAATATTATGATTTTCATACTTAATTGAATATGATTCAATATTTGTAGACTCTGGAGAAGACACTAAAATGGGAAAGAACAAGTTTCTTCATTCAGGGAGTTTTTATTTCTGCAGGATTCCATATGTGCTCAAGAAACTGTCAGACCAGGATGAATGTATTATGGCCCACAAGGGAGGCATTAAATGCTATGGTGATGAAAAGGCTATGATAACAGGAAAATTTCCAGATCCCTGAAACATGACTAAAATCACTTCAGTTGGTAGGAATCAGGAAATGCTTATAGAGAAAATTCAATTAATTTATAAGAAAATTTAGCTAATTAAATTTAATGCATAAGCATTATATTCAAGAGTAGTGACATGCATGTCTGATTCCTGATTTTATCCCTAGTATGCACAACAAAGTCTGGGACACAAAAGTACTTTAAGTATCCAACAAATATTTGTTGAACTGATCTGGAATGATTGATTAAACCCTGTAGAACTAGTAGGACTTCAATTAAGGAAAATTAGAACAAACCCAGCAGATTTTTTTCTAAAGAAAAGAAACACAAGGCCGGGCACAGTGACTCATGTCTGTAATCTCAGCGCTTTGGGAGGCTGAGACAGGCAGATCACCTGAGGTCAGGAGTTCGAGACCAGCCTGGCCAACATGATGAAACCCCATCTCTACTAAAATTAGAAAAATTAGCTGGGCGTGGTGGCACATGCCTGTAATCCCAGCTACTCGGGAGGCTGAGGCAGGAGAATGCTTTAACCAAGGAGGCGGAGGTTACAGTGAGCCAAGATTGTTCCCCTGCACTCCAGCCTGGGTGACAGAGCCAGACTCCATCTCAAAAAAATAAAAAGAAAAAAGAAAAGAAACACAAAGCATGACAAAACAAGAAAAGAGAAAAAGGTGAGCAGAGAGTAGTCTAATTTGGATGCAGTGAAGTGTCCACAGAAAAAGTCATATTTGAAAGTTTAGGCCGGACATGATGGCTCACGCCTGTAATCCTAGCACTTTGGGAGGTCAAGGCAGGTGGATCGCCTGAAGTCAGGAGTTCGAGACCAGCCTGGCCAGGAAGGAAAAAAGGAAGGAAGGGAGAAAGGAGGAAGGGGGGAAGGGGGGAAGGAAGGTTAGTTTAATGCTTGGACTCTATTTCAGACATCTAGCTGAATGAATGATAATGGGCAACGGGAGAGAAATTTTAGGTTGGAAAGAGTATTTTTACAGGGAGAGTGGGATGCAGTAAAGAAGGAAAGACTGAAGATGCAAGTGGCAAAGATGAGATCAATTGGGAAGGATCTCCTAGGAAAAGTTGGGGCACAAGATCCAAATCAAAGGGATAACAGGCCCAGGACTGAAAGACACGGGCCTCATATTGACTTTGCTATAAGCGATTTTATTTGGGTCAAATCACTTAATCCTCTGAGTTTGCTGCCTTTTCTGTAAAATGGAGACAGAGCTTACATCATAAAATTATGATGTGTAAACAAAATAACATTTGTTAAATAGCTGGCATATATAGTATACTACTATAAAATAAATGTATTTTTATTGTATTATATAGAGAATATTTATATCCTTATAGAATATATGTAGATACAGAAATGTGTTGATTTTCTAGGGCTGTTAGAGAGCCACAAATTGAGTGGCTTAAAACAACATAAATTTGTTCTTTCAAATTCAGGAGGCTAGAAGTCCAAAATCAAAGTGTCAGTAGTGTTGATTTTTGGAAACTCAGAGGATGATTTCGTTCCATGCCTCTCCCCTAACTTCTGGTGGTTGCTGGCTATCCTTGGCATTGGTTCCTTGGCAGCATAACTCTCATCTTTGCCTCTATCATCACAGAGCTCCTCCCCACCATTCCCTCTGTGTCTCTGTCTCTTCCTTTTCCTATAAGGACAGCTGCCATATTGGATTTAGGACCCACCCTACTCCAGTATGACTTCAGTCTTAACTGATTACATTTGCAATGACCCTATTTCAAAATAAGGCCACATTTGGGGTTCCAGATGGACATAAATTTTACGGGGCACAATATTCAACCTTGTACAAGAAATATATTGTTAACTTATCTTTTGTTTTATAATAGCTTCAATAGCTTTTTTTTTTTTTTTTTTTTTTTTTTTTTTTAAATAAGAACCACGATTTGGGCCTTAAACGGGAGGATAGCAAAATGTTTGAGGGCTGAGATTATGGAATTTGGATCCCATCTATTCCTCTTCCAGTCATCTAGCCCTTTGAGGCTACACCTCTTCAGCTGTCAGTTTTCTCATCTAGTAAACAGGGAGGTATGATACTTCAGAGTGTTTTTTGGGAGGATTATGCGAAGTAACATATGCAACACACTTAACATAGGATTTGGCCCAGGGCACAGTGCTTGCCTCCCTCACAAAAGCTGTCTGTAGGGTGGAAGTCTAGGTTTGTGTTCATATAAACAAAGAAGATTCCTTGTTCTCTTATACTTGCAGGCTAAAAGCGCTGTTTGCAGAGCCAGTTGCATTGTTCTGACACTTTCCTACCAATATTTCTCCACACCTAGTTATTCAGTACTAAGATGAATGATTTATTGCTATTGTTGACTCACATTCCACAGAAATGCTGGATCACTTTTCATTATACCTCCATGTCTAACATTTCAGTTTGCCCATTGACTGTATAATCATGTTATTACTATACTCCAAAAGTCAACTAGTTAAGCAACATCTTTTTCTTTGTTTTTTGGAAAGAATAATTTTAAAACATGTAAATAAATCATGTCTAAATTTTTATGAGTTTAATACATAATCACTCTTTCAGGTAGAAAACCAGGTATTTTATCACATCTATTTTTTTAATGAGAAAAATGATGTTCTATGTGGTTACATGACTTAAGTATAACAGTTTGCTCTGTCCTGATCAGTGGAGATTTGTATCTTCCACAGCCCCGGTGTATATTACTGACATTCTAGGAATTCATTGTTGATCACCTGGTAATGAAATATAAAAATGTTAGTCAATATTTGCTGTCTGTGGTCGGTCTCTATCTTATCTATAAAGAAGATTCACTACTACACCTTTGAATAGACTTGAAAGTTGGCCTGAAAATATAGTGCCAAAATCTATATTGATCTCTTATTGATTTAACATTCAACTTTGTTAGCATGCTGTTTTCCTGAGTGCTGTACTAAGAAGACTGGGGCGGGAAAGGGGGAGGGATTTAAAAATCTGAATAAACTCTTTGCCATTCATAAGTCAGTTTTATATCATGAGTTCAAACTCTATTATATTCCATTGATTTTATGAAACGATGTACAGCATGGTAAAGTAGGACACTTTAGCACTATGCTTCTAGTTCCCAAACAGGTCAATATATTCTCAAGACTTCGATAAAGAGATTTTAAGAATTTTTGTATGCCATTACCTACTATAAACTCCATGCCTAACTAGACAGGCAGGGAAATTTACAGATTGACTTATAAAATCAAGATAAATTGTGCATTAAATGCAAACCTCAGGAAGCCCAAGGTTATGTATCAACTACCCAAGTGGAAAGAAGCCAAATACAACAAAATTCCTAACAGTTCAAAACAAATTACACATGCTTCAGAGTTAGTACTTTGGCTGTCCTTGTGTTTCAGGGCATATCTACACTATTCTTTTGGCATTTTGCGTTTTACCTAAAATATATTCGATATAACTGTTATAAATGGAATTTATTATACTTACATAATAAGTATAGTCATTTCCATTTATAACAGCTATATCTGACATATAAGGGAGCTCTTGAAACAAAAAGAGATCTTGGTGCATGTGTGCAAAAGACAAGGCTAGACTGTTTTTGTGTTTTCTGAATTCATTGGGAGATGAACTAAGGCTTTTTTTCTCCATCTCCAATTTCTGTGACTGTGGTATGTTAGCCTGGTATTCCACCACATATAAATTTTTAACCGAACACAGATTTCATGAGTTTGTGGCTTGCCTTAACTTCCTTTTTTAAAATCCGGACATTTGCAGATGAAAATAATCTCTGTTACTTTTAAAATTGCACTTTACAAAATATTCATATAAATGTAAGTGTTTTGCAGATTTATTTCAAAACATTCTAAATTCCCAAAATCTTTACTGATACAAACCCACATGAATGAGGCAATTTGCAGAGTTAGTGTAAACAGGCACCACTTTGTAGTAAGTTTGGTAAAGATAAAGCATTTCAGCACATGTTCTGCCACAAAGCATTTGGGACTCTTATGTTAGAGCTTCAGAATTCCTTCTGAAGAAGACAAAAGAGAGACTTCCTGTCATTTCCACTGGTTTCTGCACGTGGGACCAATATGGGCAAAGTTTAAACAGATGCAAATGGTAAGGGGAGCAGGCAGTGTCACGTCTTGTTTTACGTATTTCTTCATATCCAGATTGGATTTAAGTCATTCTCTTCTTGGAGCTTTCAGAGTACACTGCCACTAAAGTTAGAGCATGCTTGAATGGTTTATTTCACCGATATTTGCTTATGGAAATAAAGGGGAGTGGCCGAGGGGAAAGGAGAAGAGGAATGGAGGAGGGGTTTGAGGCTGAGGGAGGCTCTGACCACAGCACCGAGCACCGGCAACCTTGTCTGATGTGATCATTAACCTTCCTGCAAAACACAGCTGGCAGTTCTCTGAGGTTTGTCATTAGAATGTGAAGATAGCCACACGGATATTGCACAGACTATTTACAGATCGTTCGGTTTACATTGAGAGTCATTGCTCCACTTCTGTGCGGTAGGAAAATGAAATTTCAGCAATTCCTTTTTGCATTTTGTATTTTTATTATGAGTCTTCTCCTTATCAGCGGACACAGACCAGGTAGGCCTTTGATATATTTGTACAAGTAACTTGTTTTGCCTCTTTGCATCCCTGGGTCTCTGAGCGTGATTGTGTTTATCTGAAAACCACTTAGGTGTGCTTGCAGTTAGTAGTATTGGGGATAAATGTGTAGGATTTTGAAAGTATGCTGTCTATCCTGTTGGGTGCATTATTTCAATATTAACAGCCAGACTTCGAAATGATAAGTATTTTACCACTATTTTTTCTAAATGCAAAGAAAATAGATCTCTAAGCTATTGCAGATGATGTTGTCTTTACAAGTAAAATGAAACAGAAATGTTCGTCTATTCATTATAAAGGTAAATAAATCTATAGATTTTTAGGTAAAATGCAAACTCCAAAGCAGTTTATTTAAAAAGTATGTTGCTGCCCGGAGTAGGGACTGAATTAACATACAAAAAGCATAATGCAACAAAATGCAGATGAAATTTTAAAATTTCAATAGCTGTTATTTCTAATTATGTAACTAGGAATGTCACTTAAAACAAGTGCAGTTTTTATTATTATTATGCTTATAGAGCTAAAAAGCATCAAAAATATGTATGGTAAAGATACATAATATTAATTTACTTGACACATTTTCAAAGATGATATCAACTGTATTGTACTTAACCAACAGAAATTTAGTACACAAAAGTATTCTAATGTACATTTACTTCAAAACCAAATAGCTAAGATTTCAAAGAACTGGTAAGTTAAAAAGAAAGAAAGAAAGAGAGAAAAGAGGGAAGGAAAAAAGGAAGAAAAGAACAGGAAAAAAAATTAGAAAGTTAAAGTTTTCTGACTCAGGAAAACCACAAACCCAACTTTAAATAAAAAGATGGTAATATTTACATCCAAATATGTTAGATTATTCACTTGATAATATACTTCTTCAGTTAGAAAAGAAAATGATGCATTACTTGTTAAAAATTCAGACTTTGCTTTTTAGTGAATTAGAAGTTTGATCACTGTGAGTTTATTTCAAATGATGTCCCCGATCTGTTCTTTTACATAAATAAGAAAAAGTTCCAAGTCAGCAACTCTGAGAAAGCAGCTTGATCCCTTCTCATTGTTTACGGCAGTCAGTATTCAAACCATTTATACTTTTCGGAAATACAGAGTAGCTTGGACAATGTTCTTACAAAATATTTGTGATTAATTTACTACATAAAAAAAGATCTAGGAGTATTTAGGAAAAAATCATGTAAAAGGAGGAGAATATTACTATTAAGATGTTGCTATATTGCTTAACGATGTTAATAGAAAAATAAATAAGAGTAAAAGAAGATCTTGCTATTAACATTAACTGTTAGGAACACCCCTTTTGTATATGCATCACATTGATTTTTAATTTTATAATCACATTTGAACAAATTGCAAATAACCACAGTCTAGTTTGGCTCCAAAATATGTTTGAATTGTCTAGATTAAACAACAATTAAGCCTCTGAAAAATGCTCTTAATATTTCTCTCTTTTTCCTTCAGTTAATTTGACCATGAGAAGAAAATTGCGCAAACACAATTGCCTTCAGAGGAGATGTATACCTCTCCATTCACGAGTACCCTTCCCCTGAGGTATTTCTGACCAAAAATAGTTTTGCTACACTTAGGCGATGTTCCAAATTAGATATACCAGAGAATGTTTCTTCACAGTTTGTAACATGTGATAATGGCTTATGGCGATGTCAAGACTTTAGAGATGCATACCAATAAATGAAAGAGTGAAATGAATGACATGACTTTTGAGAATTACTTTAATAGCTAAGGAAGAAAATTAGACAGACGAGGACAATGTAGGAAAATCTTGATAACTGTTGAATCTGAGTAACAGCTATATGGGGGCTAATATTATTGTGGATGTTATGCAGAATAAGCCGATTCCCCTGTTAAGACCAGTGTGTATGAAAGCATTTGGACGTATTCACCCAACATCATACCATCAATGAACTACCATCAATACTTCAGGGTTTTCTTTTCCTCTTCTCCTCTCCTCCTCTCCTCCTCTCCTCCCCCTCCCTCAACTCCTGTCTCCTCTCCTCTCTCCCCTCTCCCCCAGGGTCTTGCTCTGTCACCCAGGCTGGAGTGCAATGATGTGATCTCAGCTCGTTGCAGACCCAACCTCCCAGGCTCAAGTGATACTCCCACCTCAGCCCCCCAGGTAGCTGGGACTACAGGTGTGTGCCACCACTCTTGGGTAATTTTTGTATTTTTTGTAGAGATGAGGGTTCCCCATGTTGCGCAGGCTGGTCTCGAACTCCTAGCCTCAAGTGATCCACCTGCCTTGGCCTTCCAAAGTGCTGGGATTTCAGATGTGAGCCACCACACCCGGCCCTCAGGGTTTATTTTTTTCTGAAAATATTTCTTTTAATACATAAAGTAAACTTAACACTAATGAAATGGCAGCTTTCCAGTCTCACCAATAGTAGTGACCTTGATAGTCACATCTTAAGGATAAATTCTGGTAGAGTTTTGCACCTCCCTTTTCTTGTTTTTACACTTGCTAAATACTTTTACACCACCACGATTACCGGTAATACTGCTTGAATCAGCTAACTTCAAACATTGTCCAAGTTTAAGTTACTTCATACTAAAAAATACACAGTTTGGCATTCCATTGTAAGTATTTCAAGCTCATTAATTCATTAAAGATATGTCTTCCTTAAAAAATGTCACAGAAATATCCCTCATCTGGTTAACATACACAGGCAATGGCTAAATTAGCTTATTCAGTTGGCCTGTAGAGTAGCTTTTATGGTTCCCTTCATTCAGTGGAAAGAACAGTTGGTATGTCTATTGTTTAATGCATGCTTTTCAAAGCCAGGGAAAGCCCTGTAGTAGAAAATTAAATGAAGGAGGAGCAATTTAGTAAGAAACATTTATCAAAAGGACTGAGACAAAAAATTTCAAGTTCTCCATGCCTATATCTGTAACAAATTAATCTTTGTTATCAAAATACAAAAAATAGCTTTGGTGGAGGAATCCAGAAAGATATAGTAGGAGGTTTACTGAGAAGCCAATTAATGGTGATTGAAACATGCTTTAAAAAGATTTTCTGTGTTAAAATATCCTTTGGTGTGTGTTGATAATGCTTCCAGCAGGGCATTTCAGTGTCATGTATAAAACAATGGTAAAAATCTGTGCTTAAGAGGAATAGAGACACCCCAGATTTTTCCAGCACTCCTTCATAAATAACAAAGAGGAGAGGACACATTTCACAATAGCAAGAGAATTCCTGCATATACAAAGAAAGACACCTTTCAAAATATAAACACAAGTCTTTAGATAACCACAGATTATCCTCAAATCACATACCATAAAAACCAGTGTTACAAGTAAGCATGAGTAGTGAAATTTGAATTTTTAAAGTTGAGGGAAATTTTGACTTATAAATCAAGTTTGTAAACCAAAAGGAAATGTAATTAAAGCTTTGCAAACTACTTAATAATAGCAACCCTTACAAAAGTTGACTGATAGCTTATAAAACTGCTTGGGTTACAGCATCCATTTTCTCAGTTTTAGACTAGTTCTACATTCCAGCTACAGTTCTTTGAAGAATGCTTAAAAGTCACCTGTTGGAATCTACTGTAAGAGTTAATGTAAGATAAACATTAGATGATTTTTCAAGACCTTGCTCAACCAGCACTATAATAACAAGTGCTACCTTCAGATCTGATAACATAATTCTCACTGTCCTAAATACTTTCCCATTTTTTATATGTTTTGCAACAAAGGCACTTTGGTAACTGGGTCAATGTACTGTAAACCTAGGTAGTGGACTCTAAGGCAAAACACCCATTTCATTTCTCCCCCTCTAATTTTTTGGATGCTTTAGATAAAATCACATGTGGTTATTTGATCAGTTAGGATCAAGTAAGACTTCGTAAAAGGAGAGGTAAGGTAAACAATTGACTTTGAAAGTTTTCCAGATGAACCCTTTATTAGAGTGTTCAGACCTTTAGCTCATTTAATAGGAATGTCATATTATCTTTACTCAGTCAATTTTTCCACCTCCTAGGGTCATCCTCAATGATCCCAGCCTACGCAACTGAATTAATTACGCAGAAAAATCCATGCTGTATGCAGTTCATTTCCTTGATTTTTTTTCTTAAAAACATTTTGGCATCACCTTCAGTCCTAAGTGATTTAGAGTGAAGGAGAGCAAGAGAAGGGGTGTCAGGAAATGCAAGTCTACAGGTTAATGTGAGGGCCCTAGAGTGGAAAATGAGGTCGCGACTTAAGACTGGAATGACTTCTCCCTTCCAATAGTAAAATCTCACCACATCAATGCTTTTATCTATAAGTATGTACTCTAAGGCCTGGTCCAGTGGCTCATGCCTATAATCTTAGCACTTTGGGAGGCGGAGATAGGTGGATTGCTTGAGTGCAGAAGTTCAAGACCAGTCTGGACAACATGATTAAATCTTGTCTCTACCAAAAAAAAAAAAAAAAAATTAGCAAGGCATGGTGGTGTGTCCCTCTAGTCCTAGCTGTTTGGGGAGCTGAGGCCTCCAGGGAGGATCATTTGAGCCCAGGAGTTTGAGGCTGCAGTGAGCTATGATTGTGCACTCCAGTCTAGACCCTAGCTCTAAGAAATTACTTAATTAATATGTACTCTAGATAACTACATACCCCATCAATATATACTCTACTCACTTTTTTTTTTTTTTTAATTTTTATTTTTTGAGACGGAGTTTTCATTCTCGTTGCCCAGGCTGGAGTGCAATAGTGCCATCTCGGCTCACCACAGCCTCCACCTTCCGGGTTCAAATGATTCTCCTGCCTCAGCCTCCCGAGTAGCTGGGATTACAGGCATGCACCACCATATCCGGCTAATTTTGTATTTTTAGTAGAGATAGAGTTTCTCCATGTTGGTCAGATTGGTCTCGAACTCCTGACCTCAGGTGATCTGCCCGTCTCGGTCTCCCAAAGTGCTGGGATTACAGGCGTGAGCCACCGCGCCCGGTCTAGCTAGCTTTTTAATAACAATTGTAACACATGTTCATGGTGTAGAATATATTTCTAACAGCATAGAATGTAAAGTCAAAAGTACAAGTTCCCCATCCTACCCTATTGCCCATTTTCATGTTCCAGAGGTAATGACTATGAAAAGATTTTTGGAAAAAGTATCTTTTAATACATTATTTTTAATTGAGTCCAGCTAACACTCTCTTGTCACCCTCACTTGCTATTCAAACTTTGCTTCTAGTTTCCTATTTTCTGCCTTATTCTTACCCCTTTTCAGTCATGGGCATCTGAACCCCTTAACCAAACCTGCCCTGCTTCCCAACTCTTCCTGCAATTATCCTAGCATCTTCATCCTTCTCACTCCATTCTCTCCACCTCTTGAGTTTAACTGAAACCCAACTCTGCTTTCAGCATAGAATCTCTACCTTCGTGGAGCACTTCATCTCCAACTTTAGCTGGGTTCTCTGGGAAGAACTCTCCCGCACTTCATATTCCTATTCAACTATTATTTCAAACTAATAACCTCTAGTTTCTTTACACTACTTAATCTCCTCTTTCAACTCACAGCAAAAGATAACTCCTCTTACTTCATGGTAAAATAGGAGGTCATTAAGCCTGGAAATCCAACCTTACCCTGAAGCTACAGACATCTACATCTACAATGCTTCTTTTGTGTTCCCTTCCTAGTCTTTTTTTTTTTTTGAGACAGGATCTCATTCTGTCACCCAGGCTGGGTGCCGTGGTGTGATCATAGTTCATTGTAGCCTCAAAGTCTTGGGCTCAGTTTATCCTCCTGCCTCAGCCTTCCAAGTATGTGGAAGTACAGGTATATGACACCATGCTTGGCTAATTTTAAGAATTTTTGTAGAGACAGGGTCTAACTTTGTTGCCAGTCTGGTCTTGACCTTCTGGGCTCAAGCAATCCTCCGACCTTGGCCTCCCAAAGTGCTGGGATTATAGGCATGAGCCACTGTATGTGGACCCTAGTCTTTCAATAAAAGATACCTCTCTTGGATATGGGTAATCTCCCTAACCTCAAGTACCTTGATCTAGCAATTATACTCCCTTGCTCCCTCAGAATGTTCAATATGTCAACACTGATCTATTTTATCTTTAAAAAAAAAAAAAAGACAGATGAAAGAGACAAAGACAGAAAGAAAGAGAAAAAGAAGAAATGAAACAAAGAAAGAAAGAAGACAGAAAGAGAGGAAGAGAAGAGAGAGAAGGGAAGAAAAAAGGAAAGAAAGAAACAGGGAAAGAAAGAGAGAAAGAAAGAAAGGAGAAAAGAAAGGAGAGAAGAAGAAACAAAGAGAGAGGGAGAGAAGAAAGAGAAGGGAAGAAAAAAGGAAAGAAAGAAGGAAAGAGAAACAGGGAAAGAAAGAGAGAGAAAGAGAAAAGAAAAGAAAGAGAAAGAGAGAAAGGGAGGGAGGGAGGAAGGAAGGAAGGGGAAGAGAAAGAAAGAAGGAGAAAAGAAAGAAATAGAGAGGGAGAGAAGAAAGAAAAAGAGGAAGAGAAGGAAAGAAAGAAAAGAGTTCCACCATTGACTCCATAGTGCTCTCAAGTGACCAACCCATGTTCTCTTCATCTCTTCAAAGCCACATTTTTGGAAA